GGGCCCCTCCTGGGCCGACCGCCCAGCTGTGCCTTGTTTCACCCTTAGGGGTCTGTCCCAGGCCGTCATTGAGGTCACCTCCGATCACGATCGAAGTGTTCGTACCACTACTTGTGACCAGTTGGTCGATCCAGTCGGTCAGGGCAGTCACAATACGCATGTACTGCTGGCGCTCCCGTGCGGCACGTGGTTGTGGAGGATAACAGACACATATGTATTTGGTCCGTCGTTTACCCAGAGATAGTGTAACTGCTATACCTCTACCGTGTAGTTCCGATGGTGGTTCTGCCGTGTCTAGTAACTCCGCATGCTTCCATTTACCCCGCCATAGAATCATACCCCCCCGTAGATTTATTGCTGTAGGCTGCTCCCTCTCTCCATCCTCCCTCCACAAACCTGCACCCTCCCTCCCCTTCGCTGGCTATGTAGCCCATCTCCATGGACTCACCTGGGCGCCGGCGTCTCCCCGTCCCTGAAAGACCCACTATGTCGAAGTTCCTCGCTTCTGTGCAGATCTCCTGTAGACGGTCCGCGGCACAATGCATAGGGTTGTAAAAAAAACACTGCAAGAGAGGTAGCCATCGCCCCGAGCCGCCCCCTGAAGTAAGGTTTTAGGGGCATGTATGTGTGAGCAGGGGAGGGGTAAGTGTCCTCCTACAGTCCTGCAGCCACCCTGGATCACCGCTTGACCTCGCGGTGGCTTAGGAGGAGGAGGAGGAGGAGGAGGAGGAGGAGGAGGAGGAGGAGGACGAGGAGGAGGAGGAGAAGGAGGAGGAAGGGGGTAGATGGGGGAGGACGAGGGGGAGTTGGGAGGGAGTAGGAGGAGAAGGAGTATAATGAGGATGAGGAGGAGGAGGCAGGGGGGGAGGGGGGAGGATGAGGGGAGTTCTGAGGGAGGAGGAGGAGCGGGAGGAGGACGACGACGGGGAGGGTGGGGGGGGCGAGGAGGACGAGCAGGAGCGGCCGTTGCTGCCCCCCCCCCTCCCCGACCGCACGCTGCGAGGAGGCCGACGGAGGCTCCAGAGGCGGCGCCTCCGCGGGCCTGGCTGGCCGGGGCGGCTGGCGAGGAAACGCCCTCCTCGCATTGCTCCTCCATGGCCCTCCCCTATCGTCCTCGTGCTGGCCTCGGCGTCCTCGTCCTCGTCCTCGTCCTCGTCCTCGTCCTCGTCCTCGTCGTCCCCCTCCTTTCCTCCTCCTCTTCCTCCGCCTTCTCCTCATACTTCTTCTTCTTCCTCCTCCTCTTTCTCCTCCTGCTCCTCTTGCTCCTGCTCCTGCTTCTGCTCCGCGTCCTCCTCATCGGCGTCCTCGCCCTCGCCGTCGGAGAGGGAGCAGGGGGAGGGCGGGAGAGGAAGGGAGGCGGGGGTGGGGGGAGGGAGAGGAGGAGCGTAGGAGAGGAGAAAGAGGGGGGAGGGACGCGGCCCCTCCCTCCCTCCTCCCATAGGGAGCCCACGAGGACGTACGCGCCCAACCATTTACATGAACACGGCCCCTCGATCCGCGAGACCGGCCGCGCATTACGGACGTTCGCGCAGTGCGTTCTCTCGAAACCAACGTGGATTCGTGTACGTGAACGTCCTTCTGTCGCTCCTGATCCCCCTCTTCTCCTGGGCCTCTTCTCTCCTGCGGGCCTCGTGCGAGTACACCGGCCCTCCCCCTCCTCACCCACGTCCGCTCGCAGCTACCACAGGAGCCCTCCCGCCCACACGGGCACGGGCCCATCGAGCCTCCGGGCACGCGCATCCAGCAAGGGCTGGGCAATCCAGGACACCATGAGCCCTGGCAACCCACCAGTCTCCCCATGACGCCCTTAGCCCTGGCGTCACAACAGAGGTTTTAGGGCGTCCACGCTCAGATCTGCCGCAGCCATGAAGGGAAACTGCTCAGGGCGGAGGGAAACGTCGACCTGGAATCGACGACACATCGCACGCAGCTCGGCGACAGGCCCCCGACCATGAAGCCGCACGCTCCTGGGCGGGGTGGGCCATCGGGCCCCCACCGGCGATGAACTGGCGATTAAGAGGTCGACGCACCCCCACTGAGCCTATCCTCCCAATGATCGTCGTCATCCAACTTTTGAGCCTCAACTCGGGTATCCGCCGGCCCTTCGAGACGATCCGGGCAATGCCGGAACGCCCTCGGTGAGTCGCAGCCGCCGGAGAGCACCGCGAGGCTGGAAAACCAGCGAGGACCGACGAAAACGTCCAAGACCTTTCGAACCCCGAAGCCCGAACCGAGCCCCCCACGGGTGCCTCCGACAGACCCCTGCGAGCTCACATGCCCTGCGAGGCAACGGGGGGTGAACAGGGAGACCCCGATGCCCGACTCTTTCCCCGACCAATGCTTGCACTGAAGGGGTCCTCGTGGATATTGGAAGATTTGGCGAACATTTCCCGCCGATTTTGGCTGGCTGGGTTCCCGGGTCCCCGGGTTCCTGCATGGTTATTGGTTCCGGGCCGATTTCGGTGGGTTCCAGGTTCCTGTGTTACCAGTCCATCTCCTTATCGATCTCTTTTTCGATCCCACAATTCATTATCGATCGCATGATCGATATCACTATTCATCTCACTCAATCGATCGATCTCAGCATCGATCTCATCAAACCACCCACTGATTGGGTGAGTCTCTCTGGTGTGATGTGTAGGGCTACCGAGTGGACCAGAAGTTTTGGGCCGAACTTTGGGACTCTACGACGGGGGAAGGGCGTGCATCCTCGAAATGGGGTGCGCGCGGAGAGCCCCGTGGGGGTGCATCCCCGAGTTTCCCCCCTTCTCTAAGCGGCCAACTCGTTATGGGGGCAAATAAGAGAATTATAATAAAAACAAGACAAAAACACATCAACATAAACTGTTGGCGCTCCGCGCGGATTTCTTGGATCCGCGCTGTGCCCCCCTCCCTGGCGCGCGGAGCGAGCCAAGGGCGGCGCCAAGGGAGCCGCCACGGGGCTCCCAGCGCGGATCCGAGAAATCCGCGCGAAGCACCAACAAGTTGTTTATGTGTTTTATTCTTATTCAAGGTAAGCGGGGGGGGGGGGCCGACAGCCCAGAATCGACCCCCGCCGCGGGCAAACCTTACCGCGCGAAGTATGAATCGACCCCAGTCGGCCCACGTCACCCGCCGCAAAAAGCAGACATCCAGCCCACGGGCGCGGACAGGTTGACCTCGACCCCCGTCGGGGGGGGGGACCACCCCCATGCGGGTCACCAAGCACAGAGTATCTATTCGGTCGAAACTCGCGGATTGCCGGGTGTGACGAGAAGGGCGAAGAGCCCAGGGGCGGACATGACACGCGTCCCTCCGGGAGCCTAGCCTAACATGAGGACCATCGAAGATCTATGGTGAGGCTTCCGAATGGACCACGAACTTCGGGGCGCCCATCCTCGAAAGTCGGTTGCACGGAAGAGCGATCCTGGGTAAGAATGACCTTCAGTGCGCACCTAACCGGGTGACAATGGGTGGCCAAACCTGGACGCGCAAGCCGCTGCTACCGCTTCGCGTTCAGCGATCGGGGGACCCCGTTGGGCGCGCACCAAAGGTCTCTCCGGCGAAGGGTCACTCTTACGTCTAATCGAGAAGGGGGGGGTACCCCCAAGCTTCTTTCAAGGGGAGGACGACGACCGGCCAACGGCGGGGCAGCTGCCGCGGCGGCCGCGGCGGCATCGGCCAGGGCGCGCCGCTGCGAGGCCGATGGGGCCTCCCGGCGCGCCTGCGCTGGCGCGGGCGCGGGCCGCGCGGGCACGGTCCTGCGGCCGGGGAAGCAGGGAGGGGGGAGGAGGGAAGAGGAGGGGGAGGAGGGGGAGGACCACTGGAAACCCAATAATCATCGACGATGATGGGAGAAGAGCCCTCCCTCCAAGCTCCCTCTTCATAGGCCTCTACAACAGTTCAGTTCCACTGGGGGAACTGCCTCGTTGGAAGACAACCGTTGGAAGACCCTGGGGCATGCCAAAACAATGTTCTCGGGATTCTAACGTCACGGAACAAGCTGACTGTTGCGTACTGGCGATATTTAATCGCGCAAGAACACCATTCCTGAGACTTCGACACAGCGAATCAACGTAATTGTTGCGCTTCGTGATCTAGAACCCTTCCGAGAAAAAAAAACAGATGTTGGTCTGCGGATCATGGGAACACTTGAAACTCTTCCATTTTAGCAACGAGCGTGTGCGGCGCTAAAGCGACAACCACATGTTGAAAATTACGCCCCTCAATCCGCGAAGCTGTGGCAATTTTTGAAAACGACGTGCGCGGCGCTAAAGCGAGAGCCACATTTTGAAAATCAGCCGCCCTCAATCCGTGAAACTCAGCCGAGTGTTTAAAACGAATGTGTGCGGCGCGAATGCGAGAACCACACTTTGAAAACCACCCGCCCTCAATCCGTGAAGCTCAGGCAAATGTTGAAAACGAATGCGCGCGGCGATAAGGCGAGAACCACCGTTTGAAAACCAACCGCCCTCAATCCGCGAAGTTTCCGCAAATTTCTCGTACGAATGTGCGCGGCGTTAGAACGAAAACCGCATGTTGCAAACCACCCGCCCTCCATGTTTAAAGCTTCAGGGCCATAAATGGTGAAGGAAGTCTCAGGCGAAACGCCAGGCCCGCCCTAAAACTGGCCTCGGGGTGCGACAGGGAGAAATTATTCATAAGGGAAAGGAATGGGGGAGGACGGAAGGACGATGGGGCAGGCGGAAAGGGGGAAAGGAAGGAAAGAAAACGGCGGCGGCGGCGGGCCCATCCGAACCGCAACAGATGGTTCATCGCTTGATTGGGCCCCCCCCAACCCCCGCCCCAGGCGAAGCCGCATCAGGGCGGCCGTCGCCCCTGCGCCAGTGCCTTCGACCGAACGAATGTCGAGCGCACTTGCGCGTGCGATTGCAGGGGGCACGCTGCGAAGCCGACGAGCTGGGAGGCGAGGAAGGACGGGGGGGGAACAAGGGGGGGACGAGAGGGGCGTGACGGGATTGGGGCTGGATGGCATTGCAAGCGTTGGGTGGCCTCTCGTTTTCCGCTGGGGCAGTAGCAGCCCCCCCTCGCCTCCGAGTCCGAGAATGCAGAATATCGAGCTCATCGCGACGGTCTCGCTCCCGGCGGCGGGCTCGCTGACGCATCCACCCAGAACCCACGTCGATGAACTTCATGCCGCCGGTCTGGCACGAACGTGCTTTCAGCATCCTGCGGGCCATTGGATGGAGGGCTCCGATAACGGTCACGCAGGCGTGCAGCATCGAAGCCCGAAACGCGAGCACTGCGAAAACCCCCCCGCCCAATAGTTTGGGCCGCGCGTCGTAGCGCCGGAGGGGCGACGCGAACCGCGCGCCACGCCGACATGGAGGTGCACCCAATAAGGCCCGAGCTCTCTCAAGTGTTCTGTCAGATAAACGCATACAGATGGATGCATCGAGGTGTCGACGAGGCATCGCCAAAGAGGTCCTCAACGGCGCACCCTTGGCGGCTAAATCATTAACTCATTGGAAGCCAAGCGCTCGGAGAATGAAAATTTTGGCACCCCCGGGAATAACCGGCCAGCGCGGAGGACCATCAAACAGTTCCCTGACCTTTGAAACCAAAGCGTTCTCGATGGAACCCTGCGCGGCCAGAGGAATCCGATACCCACGAGCGTAGATCAAATCTTCGCCAACAGCTCCTCGTTTGATCATGGCTGCCTGCTCAGACCGCTGCTCGACTCCCCACGGTCGGCCTCCCACTCGGAGGCGATAGCGAAGAGCTCCCTGCAGCAGACCCATAACAATTCTGAACAAAGCCATGTGCGCGAAAGAGCCAGCCCAGTGAAAGCGAACCGTTCGCGACGACGCCTTGCGTTTACATTCGCCCAGTCTGTCGCGCCGAGTTGATCATCACCTGGAACTGGGCCGGCACGTTCAACTAAGCCGACAACGCCAGCGTCTTCCAGCGCTGGCCCTTCCAGATGGTGGCCCAGCTGCGAGTTCCTGTTGCCAACATGTCGCAGACCGTCTTCTCCACGACGTGAACAGGCTTGACGTGCGTTAAGACGCGCAGGCAATTCGATTTACGCCGCAAGCTTGAAACGCATTCAACGCGCAACTGTTGGTCAAACGCCCAAATCCGCCCCAACCCGCCTGCGCCGCTTAAATGCCGCCAGCGCCTGCGAAACACAACCGCTGATGAAAGCGTCCTCGACCGATTTGGTCGCGGCATCCTGGGCGCCGTCATCAAGATCGAGGCCGTCGGGGACAATGATGTCGAGGTGCCGCTGCTCACGCCACTCGCCAGTCACAGTAAGCACCAACACTTTCCGAAACTCAGCCCGCGTATCTTCTCCAAAACATATATCCAGGCAGTGAGCTGTGTTTTCCATGGCCCCCTGCATCACTATCCCATGGTGGATGAAGATGCTCTCGCGGATAACTCGGTGCACGCGCAATCTCGGGCGGTTCACGTCAGCCCCCATATGCACGCTGATACCGGTGTTCAAGACACCCTTGCTCGCTGTCGACTCAATATCCGCCAACGTCTTCTTGAAGCACGTCGCGGGCATGCGGCCCTCGCAGTCGTGAAGGCTGCTTGTACAACCATCACGTCTATCGGACATAATTGCCACCTGAGCTCTCTTGTTCGACGGGCGCTTGCCCACACAGGCCGACGCATTTCGCAGCTGAAACTTCCCAGAAAAATAGGTGATGCCAGCGGTAAGCTGGCATCACCGATGTTCCTTCCTCAGCGAGCTCCGCGGCGAATGTTGAGCTCGAAATGTGCGAGTAAACCAGATGCATCACCCTGCACGTCATCAACAATCACGTCAGCTGGCAGAACATCCTCGTCAGCGGCTGCTCCTTCTGGAGCTGAAACCATATCGTGATCGTCTTCGCACTCGAGGCCAATAGGGCTGAACGGCTCTGCTGCTGCGTGCGCCCACGCCGCGAACACTGCATCGCTTGCATCTGCCCCTTCAGGGTCACGGCCATCGCCCGATGCAGCTGAGGCGTCGTCGGATTGGCCCCGGGCCAAGGCTGCCCACGCCTCCACGAAGGAATTGCATCGCAAGAAACTTTAAGCCTTTGAAGATGAGCCAACACGGCGATGTACGAGTACAAGCGAGAGCATGAACGCGTGACCAAATGCGCCAGCTGGCGCGAATATTGCATTTATCATCCAGGCAACGGCTCGCGGGGGGGGGCATCCTGGCCCAGGCTGCACGTGGCTTGCTGAAGATCCTTTCGCTTGAGGCTTTCTCACTTGGTATATTCAAGAAACCAGCAGTCACCAGCTTTCCATTGGAGGGCGGCAACATTTCAAAATGTGGCCCCCGCTTGAGATCGCAGTGAGCCCACTGGCGTTTGCCGTCGGTGCTGCCGATCTGGCTTGAGGGGAGGGGGGGTCCCAGACGTTGCTGATGCAGTGCGCACTTCAACGGTTAGGTTTCGGGTCGGAGCGCCCTAGGCCCTAGATTATACCCGAGAAGCTTTCGCTACACGCATTGCGAGCACTTGGCCTCGAGAACAATATCGTGCAATTTCCTCTCGGCCACACTGCAACACATACCCCAATGATTGTGCGACCCAGGCTAGCCAATCAAATTAGCATGGAATTGTGGCGAACTCATGTGACCCCAGAAAACACACCATGAAATTAGCCGACCCCTTGGGGCCCCCAAGCGCATGAGCATATACTGCCGTTGTCAACCGCCTCGGCCCACACACGCGCATGCGACCATTGACCACACGCGACTCATAACTTATTATGATGCATGGTTACTTTACCCAGCGGGAGCTTCGATGCTCCCGACTGGCCACCCTAATCCAGAAGCGCAGAACTAATCTTTGGGGGCGAAATCGCTCCTGGCGGCCAAATTTCCGAAACCACCTTGGGCTACATGTTTTCGCTGATCCACTGGGGTTGCTCAGAGCACCTCAATAGTCCTGGAATGACCAATAGTCCGGGGGGGGGGCCCTGTATTCTGGGGGGGGGAGGGACCCTGTAGTCCGGGGGGGGGGGGGGGGCCCCCTTGTAGTCCATGCGGGGGGGGCCGTAGCCCGGAGGGGGGCCCCTCGTAGTCTGGAGGGGGTTCCTGTATTGCGGGGGGGGGGCGGGGGGGGACACTGTGATCTTCGCGGGGCGACGTCCCGCTCGACGACCGCGGTCGTGGCAGTTGTCTATCTGTGGCATCCCGTAGCCCTTCTGCTCGGCGTGGTGGCTTTAGCAGGGGGGGGGTCCTTGTAGTCCGGGGGGGGTCCCTCGCGGGGGGGGGCCCTTGTAGTCTGTTGTCCGGGGGGGGGTCCTTGTAGTCAGGGGGGAGGTCCCTGCAGTCCATGGGGGGGCCTTGTAGTCCCGGGGGGAGCCCTTGTAGTCTGGGGGGCCCTCGTAGTCCGGGGGCCCTTAACTAATGAGGTACTCGGAGTAAGCAGACCAGCTTCCTCTGAGGCCTTTGGGACCATGGATCTAGACGCTCTGGAGCATTCCTCGGGCGCCGCGTCCTCCTCACAGCGTTCCAAAATGCTCTGAGAGCGCTCCGGAACGCCCTGGAACGGATTTATCCTCGTCCTAGACCCGCCTGAAGAGGCCCGCCCGCCGCCTGCAATGGAGAAAGGTGAAGGGGCTCCTCCGCGGTTTCCTCGGGGGCTCTTCCAATGCCATGTTTGGGGACAAAGCCACTCGGCGCACCCCGGCGGCCGCCCTGCCGTTTTGACGGGGTCCGCCATGGAACGCACTGGACGCTTCATGCCGTGCGCCAGCCGACCGGACTCGTGAGCAGAAGCGGGAGAAGCAGGAGGAGCAAGAGGACCATGAGGGCCAGGGAAAAGCGGAGAAAAATTGAGCGGCAGCGACTAGGAAGGAATTGGATTAAGAAATGTGGCCCGTGCTGAGGCGAGAGCGCAACTCCAACCGACGGGATCACAGCGCCGACCCTCTACATTGGCCAGTGCTGCAGCGGGAGCACGAGTGCTGAAATGCAGAAAATGGCCTGGTGGGAAAACATATCTAAAGTCAACTCGGGACAATCCTGCGTAACAAATGATGAGCGGGATAAGCGGCCGAAAAACAGAAGCATCAGGGAAGAGAGGAGAGTGGCATTCGTAGTGAGTACGACCAGACCTAGGACAGAAGAACATCCTTCAATAACATGAAAACATCCCTCACACAAAACACCCGAAACCACAAGATCACCGAGGGTACCCTTCCCCAGCATTTACAAAAACGCCCACCAAGCACGACGAACCTTAGGGTACCCTCCCCGAACTGACCTCGATCTTATACCTCGGTCCGGAATGGTTGGAGAGGGGTAGGGAATGAGAGAGAGAGCCCAGTGGTGCCAAACATCCTCCTTCCATGATGCTTCCAAGCTGGCTGCCACCTCAACATGGGTAGATCGCAGCGGTCCACAAAAGCGGCGTCCACTGCTTCCCCACTGGGAGGAAGGAATGGGAGGAGGGAGAAAGGAGGGATGAGGACGATGCGACAAAGGGAAACTACGAGGAGGGAGGAACAGAGACGGGAGGGGGAAGAAAAGGAACATAAGCAGGAAGATGAGCAGAAAGAAGAAGAGGCGGAGGTTGAGAGCTAGGAGTGAGGAGCGAATGATATATGATATATAACCATATACACATGGTCAATCGGGTGACGGACGAGCGAACTCTTCCGCCATCGCACGCCAACATCATCTGCCGCCTGCCCATCCGCTTGACAGTCATGGCCCGCCAAAACAGAGCTGCCAGACATGCGCGTCGTGCCACCCAGGCCGCCTTACACTGGGGAACAATAACTACACAATGATAAGCGTTCGGAGCTCCGCGCAGATTTCTTGCATCGGCGCTGGACCCCCCCTCCCTGGCGCGCGGAGCGCGCCAGGGGCGGCGCCGGAGGCGCCGCCACCGAGGCCCAACGCCGATCCCAGAAATCCGCGCCGAGCGCCCACAGATCGTGTTTGCGTCGCCTTTTTTCTTTCATTACACCACGCGCCTCGAGAGCCATCGCCTGTCAACCCTGTGTCTAAGGGCTGGATCTAAACTTTGTGTTTCGTTGTGTGTTCGTTGTGTGTTTCGTTTTGTTTTTTTCCTGTACCTCCCGCCCAAAACGAACAAAACGCAACCGAAGTCCAGCAAACCAGCGTTTAGTTCCAGCCCTGCTGTGTCTCGCGCCTTCCCACAACCCTGTTCCCAGCCCAGCGCCCCCCGGCGTGGCGCGCGCGAGCTGCTCCGCTGCCCCACGCGCTGGCATCAGCACGATTGAACTGGCGGCGCTGACTCCTGCCGCTTCTGAGCCGCTGCCTGCACGGTCTAGGAGGATCGTGCCACTCACGCTGTCTTCTCCCCAACGCCTGTCGAACAGGCGGGTTGCTGAAGCGTGCGTCCTGCATGGATCGCGCGGACATCACGAGCGTCAGCGCGAGTCCCAAGCAAATCATGAAGAACTCAGCAGCGCGAGCGTGACTTCTAAATGTCGAAGGCGCGGCGTCCGAATCCATCGCGAGGATGTCCCGAGCGAGAGCGCAACTCCTGCACAGATAGACTGTGATCCCGCGCGAGAGCGCGCCTTCTCAACAACTATGCGAAGTATTTGATCCACGATGGTTTTCACGCGCGGGCGCCCCCCCCCCCGCAGTGCCGCCCGCTGCCGCCGCTGCCTGCCGTCTCGCACGGGCTGGTCCCTGCCCCGAAACGGATGGGCCCTTTCCCAGGAGCGCCTCCGCAGCGACCGCTGCTGCCACCGCGTGCCTTCTGGCCTAGTAGGGGAGGAAGAAAAAGGGGATGCTGATGATGATGATGATGATGATGATGATGAGGAGGAGGAGGAGGAGGAGGAGGAGGAGGAGGAGGAGGAGGAGGAACGGGAGAGAAAGGGGAAGGGAGGAGGATGAGGCAAGATCGGGACAAGCAACAAAAAATGCACTGCATAAGCGTGACCATTGGAAGGTCCGAAAGGGCGTGTTCTGTGGTCGCGTGGAGGGGGGGGGCTACTGGACCCCCCCACTGGATGGAGACGGAAGGGGGGTGTTCGACCCCCCGCCTCCCTCCCTCTCCTCTCTCCTCGGGCCGGCGCCTGCGTCGGCGGCGGCTGGCGGTGGCGGCGGGGACGACGATTTCTTCTTCTGGGCCGGCGCCGGCGCTTGCGGCGGCGGGCGGTGGCGGCGGGGAGCGTCGGCGAGGACGACGGTGGTGGTGGTGGTGGTGGTGGTGGTGGTGGTGGTGGTGGTGGTGGTGGCGTGGTGGTGATTGTGGTGGTCGTGGTGTGGTGGTTTGTTATGGTGGTGGTGGTGGTTGTGGTGGTGGTGGTGGTGGGTGGTGGTGGTGGTAGTGGTGGTGGTGGTGGTGGTGGTGGTGGTGGTTTGGTGGTGGGGTGGTTGCGGTTTGTGGTGGTGGTGGTGGTGGTGGTGGTGGTAGTGGTGGGTAATCGGCGCTGCTGGCCGCCGCCAGCGTCGGCGCCGGCGCCAGGGGGGGGGGTTGAAACCCCCCTCCCCTCCAGGCTGCCTCTGATCATCGTCGCTGCGTCCCCGCCGTCGGCGCTGCTGGCGGCCGCCAGCGCCGGCGTCGGCGCCGAGATGGGGGGGGGTTGAACCACCCCCCACCCCCTTGGGAAGATGGGGGGGGTTCGAGAGGGAAGGGTTTGGGAAGGAGGGGAGTCCCCCTGGTTTTGATCGACGGCGCCAAGTGTCAGGAGGGTGGGGGGGCCGACCCCCCGGTTCGAAACGCGCCGCCGAAGGTTCCCAAGGCGAGCGCCCGTGACACGCCTTCTCTCGAGGGTCCGCACGGATTTGTGGATCGGCGCTAGGCCCCTCTCCCTGGCGCGCAGAGCGCGCCGCCAGCGGCGCAGGATGCGCCGCCAGAGGGGCCCAGCGCTCATCCGCTCAAACCGCGCGGACCTCCGGAAGTCTGCATGTTTACTGCGCTCGTTCTCCTGCGAGGGAAGGAAGGCCGGAGCGGGAAGAAAGGGAAGACGGTGCGAGGCCGCGAGGCATGACGCAGCGTCTCGGGGTGAAGCGCCGCGCAGCAGCAAGGGAGTAGCAAGAGGGCTGCTGAGGCGGTGGCCGCAGGGCGGCCTCCGATCATGCCAGGGTTCGCGGGACCCCCCCCAGCCCCCCACCAGCCTGAACCGGCAGCGAGGGAAGGGAGGAGGGGGAGGAGGAGGAG